ACTAGGGAAAAGTTTGTCAGCATGAGTAAACCGACCAACGTCCACATCATTAGCTATGCTGATGATATTATGATACACACCACTGGGTATGCTAACACGCAGAACACTCTTAACTCTGTATTAGACTCATGTCAGGACCTAGGTTTAGTCATCTCAGCAGAGAAAATAAAGATACTAAATCGGCGCCCACCCAGGCAGGGAGTTCGCAAGATGCAACTGTCTGATGGCTCTCAGCTTGACTATGTAAACAGATTCAAATACCTTGGCCTTGAGGTGCCACTGTATGGTCCTGTTGTATTAGGACTCTGTCGTCAGTATAAAGAGAGGCGCCGAGCTCTGAAGGCTGTTGCAGGTTATCACTCAGGCTATGGTGCCAATGTCAGAATTTTCAACATAATGTACCTTGCATACATCAGATCTTTAGTGGATTATGGTGCACCTCTTCTTGTTTTGATGTCTGAAAGAAATCAAGCTTGAGAAGAAATAAATAAATTTTTCAAGCTTGGAGGGCTTGAAAAATTGCAGAACGAAGCCTTGTGGATAATCCTTGGGCGCCCTCGTACCACAAAGATACTTAACATGAGAATGAAACTTAATATTCCGAGCGTTGTTGATCGTGTTACTGAAATTAACTGTCAAATTGGTATAAAATGCTTAGGCTAACTCATCCTAACCCTTGCACAGAAGCCCTCCAGAATTCCTTTATTGAAGGTCAACATTTTTCTAAATGGATAACTAAAACTGGAACTCAACTCAAAATGTATCAGGTTTATAATTTGTACCAAGAGAAACAACAACGGCACTTTCCTGCACCGTAGGAGATTATACCCTTTCCAGTTTTAATCCCTCCCTTTCCACCCAAGAAGCAAATTAGAGATCAGCCCAAGCTTCGTCTTGAGGCAAAGCTCAACGCCTTAAGCCATATTGATGCTCTGTCCACAGGTCATTCTCTCTCTCAAATCATATACACTGATGGTTCCCTACACCGCTCCACGGGTGCAGCTGAAAGTGCAGTTGTCCTGACAATGGGCGATGGCTTGTATTTTGAGTGGGGAGTCCGTATAAACAACTGGGCCAGTAATTCCCTTATCCAGTAATTCCATCTATCATCATACTATCATGCAGGAGGAGCCCCACATCTATGGTTCATCCAATAAAATTAGCAGACTTCTAGATGTTACTGCTACTCGGCTTAGACTCGGTTACAAGTATCTCTGGGAACTCTCATTATCTGCCGATGTAGACCACACCAAATGTAAACTGTGTCAACAAAATTATTCGCACACCCTCCGTCACTACGTGATGGAGTGCGAAAAGATACGTGAATTCAAAGACAATTCTATAACGAATGTTCCAACGATATGTAAATATTTCATTCAAAATGGTCGGCAACCAGAAATTTTAGCCAAATATACCCAGTTTGCTAACTGTAGGTAGTAACAAAGTGTCTGTAACCTATTCACCGCTGCCCACTGGATGGGGGGGCGGTGTGCAGGACAAACATATCATTTGTGACACTAGCTCTCCACATATGCCAGTGGCTTAATTTAGAAACAGTACTTGTGATCGATCTCGAACCCATTGATGATGTGACGACTTGTACTGAATTTTGTAACTAGCTCATCAAGATTGTAACTTGCTTAGCTAAATGAATTGTGGGGTTCAGTCCCTGAGCCCATTATGTGCCTCTGTAACCCTTTCTACTACCGCCCACAAGATGGGTATGGGGTGCATAATAAATGTACCTAACTAAAACTAACTTGGGAAAACTGCTAGAAGCATTTCAAAGCAGCTTGTAGTTTTCCCGGTAAAATACCAGCTGCTTATAAGACATTTCTGCAAGAACTTGAGGGATTTAGCAACCTTCCCGCAGAGTGCACAAAGTCCCCGATATAAAAGGCCTAGAGATGAGTCCCAGTTAATCCTATATTCCTAAGATCAGAACCGCGTTATATCCTTCCAGACTTTCTCAGGAGTTCCAAGACTTATATCTCGACGGGAGATGAGAAAAATGTGAAAAAATATTAATAAATACAAGAAAGAGCGTATTGTGTAACTAGTCTTCTTTATTTTCCTTCTGTTTGTCTATATCTCTATATCTCTGTCTCTCTCTGTCTCTCTCTGTCTCTCTCTGTCTCTCTCTGTCTCTCTCTGTCTCTGTCTGTCTCTGTCTGTCTCTGTCTGTCTCTGTCTGTCTCTGTCTGTCTCTGTCTGTCTCTGTCTGTCTCTGTCTGTCTCTGTCTGTCTCTGTCTGTCTCTGTCTGTCTGTCTGTCTGTCTCTATCTCTATCTCTATATCTCTCTCTCTCTCTCTCTCTCTCTCTCTCTCTCTCTCTCTCTCTCATTATGGTCCACCTTCATATAAGCTGATGTAGCATAACAACCCCAAGTTTAGAGTTTCATTTGGAAAATCACTGACTTTGTTAATGAACCCTTGAAGAATACAAAAATAGAGAAAGAAGACAAAATAATATATTTGCACATGTACATTTAATATTTCAAATGCCTTAGTGGTCTTCAGAATATAATGACGGTCCAATACGCCGGGAAACTACCGAACTTGGTCAGAACTGATGTATAATTAGAGTCTATTCCAATATAACAATATTGTTTTGGGATAATGACCGAGACTTTAAAGTCGAGCAAACGAATATAGAAAAAAGGAAACTCCAGGAAGACTAATGACCAATACACGACAACTGCTGTTTCTGTCCGTCTCAACTTATGCACACATATCTCTTCCCTTCACATGAAACGATCACAACCATATTTACATACCAATATTTATTCAAGTCTCTTCTGAATATAAACTTAAATTCGTTGTTTCGTGTTCTTTTTTGTGTTGATATATTTAACACTTAAAATATCCATTCGTCCATTTGTATTCTTCCGTTTTATTACTACATAATATCCATCTCTCAAGAGAATCTACAATAGTTTTTTCTTAATCTCTGGGCATAAAAGAGGCGTTGAATTCTTGGAGTTAAATATATAATCCTTCATCGTTCACGCTCAAGTGAGTGGATGACACCGGTGTTAGAGGGTGAGAAAAGCTGTATAATATGGATGCGTCTAACAAGAGGCAAGATAAAGCTGAAGAATAACTCAATATATTTTGTTCTTTAACGTCTATGAAATATTAATAAAACAGCGTTAAATATGAATCCCTGTATTTTCTTTACCTTATATAGTATATTTGTACGTTGATATTTTGGCATAGGTTCCCTATTAAGCCTGCCTCCCAGATAATTTTCTCATTCAAATTGAAAAATTTTAGCATTGTCCTGCTGATATCTGCTTAAGCTCAGAACCCTACAATTCTCAGCATTGAATTGCATTTGCCATTTTTATTTTAATTTTATAACCTGAATTAAACCGTTATGAAGGTCTTTTTAAGACGTTGAAAAGAAGTTTAGGAAAAATATTTTGATAGGCTGGGCGGATACTGTAGTTGTGATGGTTTTATCAGAGGTCTCACCATTTAATGAGTTCTTCGACGTATTCGTTAGAGAATCCTTTACTGACTAGGACCTAACTTATGCTACAGTTTCTGATCAATGTTCTCAAGATCCTTGATTATGCCCCAAAGTTATACCCCAAAGTTATCAATGTTCTCAAGATCCTTGCTAATACCCAAAAGTTACTTCTTCTTTGAGAGCGTCTTCTTTCCTGACAATTTCCTGACAAACATATTCCTTTTGGGTGTCATCTGTTCCTCGTTCTTAGCGAGAAGCTGCTGTGCCTAATTTACTATTTTACTCATTAAATTGAAAGCTTGTTTAGTATGGAATCCCCGCGATCTGAACTCGGGCTCCGTCGTTATTAATGTGTGTCCCTGTAACTTGCTCTTCACACAAGTATCGGGTAATTTTTCGACAAAATATAATAAAATGATATGTCAAGAAATAAATTGTAATATTTAGTTACAGTTGGCGCAGTCATATATCATTGATATCTATTGTATGACAGATGTCTGATGTTTGTAAGTACAATATTTTTATTAAGACAAATAACGAAACATAAGAACACAAAGTCAACAAAGCCTCTGATATTAAATAGTAATTTTGAGAAAGAATGGGTAGGTGATCTGCGTGAAATATCGACACAAGGCAATATCGAGGCAATGACCTTATGTGATTACAATGCAATAAAGAGATATTATAAGTTCAAGAAGACTATTAAGCGACACATATGGACGCATTTTCAAATACACAAACTTCAGTTGAAAACTTAGTGACACAAATGACTGCATAAAGGTAATCAATTAAGGAAAACTCATTAAACGCATTGGAACAACACATACCACACACCGGTGATGCTTTCCACTGAGTGCATTTTCACTCACAGCGCATGCCTCATATCATCAATAAAATATATACAAGCGTCCTAAACGTCAATAACGGTGCCTAAAGGCGTCCTAAACATCAATAACGATGCATAATGGCGCTTTAAACATCAATAACGGTGCATAAAGGCGCCCACGACACCAATAACGGTGTATAAAAACGTCCTAAACATTATTAACGGTGCATAAAAACGTTTTAAACATCAATATCTGTGCATTAAAGCGTCCTGAAAATTAATAACGGTGCATAAAGACGTTCTGAACACCAATAACAATGAATAAAGACGTCCTAAATATCAACAACGGTGCATAAAGGCGTCATTAACGTCAATAGCGGTATATGAAGGCGTCCTAAACATCAATAACGATGCATAAAAGCGTCCTAAACTCTGGTCTTGATGACTGTAAGTACAGCAACGCTGCGACCCGTCCTCGACGTCTTCCCAGAGACAACGAGATAAAAACCCATCTTCCCCCAGCAATCAATCATCTTCGCCCAGCATCTGATCCTTGTCATACACGTGTAGTGGGCGTTATACACATCTCACAGTCTAAAAGACCTTGAGAACGACATTTGTTACTGATTCAGAAGAATATTTTTTAAAGATATCTTTGTTAGTCTGTATTAGATTCCAATGAACTATAAATGTTTTTTCCTAAATAATATTTCCGTAGTTGTCTGAGTCACAAAGTGTGCGACCTGAGGAAGTGTGCTTCATGATCATGGCAGGTAATGATAGTTCCCTTTCCTTCATGATCATGGCAGGTAATGATAGTTCCCTTTCCTTCATGATCATGGCAGGTAACGGTAGTTCCCTTTCCTTCATGATCAAGGCAGGTAATGATAGTTCCCTTTCCTTCATGATCATGGCAGGTAATGATAGTTCCCTTTCCTTCATGATCATGGCAGGTAATGATAGTTCCCTTTCCTTCATGATCATGGCAGGTAATGATAGTTCCCTTTCCTTCATGATCATGGCAGGTAATGATATTTCCCTTTCCTTCATGATCATGGCAGGTAATGATAGTTCCCTTTCCTTCATGATCATGGCAGGTAACGGTAGTTCCCTTTCCTTCATGATCATGGCAGGTAACGGTAGTTCCCTTTCCTTCATGATCATGGCAGGTAATGATAGTTCCCTTTCCTTCATGATCATGGCAGGTAATGATAGTTCCCTTTCCTTCATGATCATGGCAGGTAATGATAGTTCCCTTTCCTTCATGATCAAGGCAGGTAATGATAGTTCCCTTTCCTTCATGATCAAGGCAGGTAATGATAGTTCCCTTTCCTTCATGATCATGGCAGGTAATGATAGTTCCCTTTCCTTCATGATCATGGCAGGTAATGATAGTTCCCTTTCCTTCATGATCATGGCAGGTAATGATAGTTCCCTTTCCTTCATGATCATGGCAGGTAATGATAGTTCCCTTTCCTTCATGATCAAGGCAGGTAATGATAGTTCCCTTTCCTTCATGATCATGGCAGGTAATGATTGTTCCCTTTCCTTCATGATCATGGCAGGTAATTATAGTTCCCTTTCCTTCATGATCAAGGCAGGTAATGATAGTTCCCTTTCCTTCATGATCAAGGCAGGTAATGATAGTTCCCTTTCCTTCATGATCATGGCAGGTAACGGTAGTTCCCTTTCCTTCATGATCATGGCAGGTAACGGTAGTTCCCTTTCCTTCATGATCATGGCAGGTAACGGTAGTTCCCTTTCCTTCATGATCATGGCAGGTAATGATAGTTCCCTTTCCTTCATGATCATGGCAGGTAATGATAGTTCCCTTTCCTTCATGATCATGGCAGGTAATGATAGTTCCCTTTCCTTCATGATCATGGCAGGTAACGGTAGTTCCCTTTCCTTCATGATCATGGCAGGTAACGGTAGTTCCCTTTCCTTCATGATCATGGCAGGTAATGATAGTTCCCTTTCCTTCATGATCATGGCAGGTAATGATAGTTCCCTTTCCTTCATGATCAAGGCAGGTAATGATAGTTCCCTTTCCTTCATGATCATGGCAGGTAATGATAGTTCCCTTTCCTTCATGATCAAGGCAGGTAATGATAGTTCCCTTTCCTTCATGATCATGGCAGGTAATGATAGTTCCCTTTCCTTCATGATCATGGCAGGTAACGGTAGTTCCCTTTCCTTCATGATCATGGCAGGTAACGGTAGTTCCCTTTCCTTCATGATCATGGCAGGTAATGGTAGTTCCCTTTCCTTCATTATCAAGGCAGGTAATGATAGTTCCCTTTCCTTTATGATCATGGCAGGTAATGATAGTTCCCTTTCCTTCATGATCAAGGCAGGTAATGATAGTTCCCTTTCCTTCATGATCATGGCAGGTAATGATAGTTCCCTTTCCTTCATGATCATGGCAGGTAATGATAGTTCCCTTTCCTTCATGATCATGGCAGGTAATGATAGTTCCCTTTCCTTCATGATCATGGCAGGTAATGATAGTTCCCTTTCCTTCATGATCATGGCAGGTAATGATAGTTCCCTTTCCTTCATGATCATGGCAGGTAATGATAGTTCCCTTTCCTTCATGATCATGGCAGGTAATGATAGTTCCCTTTCCTTCATGATCATGGCAGGTAATGGTAGTTCCCTTTCCTTCATGATCATGGCAGGTAACGGTAGTTCCCTTTCCTTCATGATCAAGGCAGGTAATGATAGTTCCCTTTCCTTCATGATCAAGGCAGGTAATGATAGTTCCCTTTCCTTCATGATCAAGGCAGGTAATGATAGTTCCCTTTCCTTCATGATCAAGGCAGGTAATGATAGTTCCCTTTCCTTCATGATCAAGGCAGGTAATGATAGTTCCCTTTCCTTCATGATCATGGCAGGTAATGATAGTTCCCTTTCCTTCATGATCAAGGCAGGTAATGATAGTTCCCTTTCCTTCATGATCATGGCAGGTAATGATAGTTCCCTTTCCTTCATGATCATGGCAGGTAATGATAGTTCCCTTTCCTTCATGATCATGGCAGGTAATGATAGTTCCCTTTCCTTCATGATCATGGCAGGTAACGGTAGTTCCCTTTCCTTCATGATCATGGCAGGTAACGGTAGTTCCCTTTCCTTCATGATCATGGCAGGTAATGATAGTTCCCTTTCCTTCATGATCAAGGCAGGTAATGATAGTTCCCTTTCCTTCATGATCATGGCAGGTAATGATAGTTCCCTTTCCTTCATGATCAAGGCAGGTAATGATAGTTCCCTTTCCTTCATGATCATGGCAGGTAAAGACTGCCAGGAGTATTAGAGGCTATAATCACACAGTTGAGAAACATTGAAGGATTAAGCTAACTTCACTATTATATATGAGTAAGTCACTGAGAAATGTATAAGGGTAGATGAGATAGCGATATTAAAATGTAGTAAGTATAATTATGGAAGTGAGCATATGTGTTTGATGTACATACACTATTTTACATATACATATTTTATATATAAATATACAGGCACAGGGTGGTTGGGGTCGAACCCCCCATGCTCCTCTTTAAGGATGATCGCCTCCTTTTGCGAATCACAGCGACTCCTATGAAGTGTAAAATATTGGCTTGATTGTCCATAGTATGTTTCAACACATTTATAAGCTGTTACTTCCGTTCAAAACGTTGAAAACGTTTGTTCAACGTTGCCACAACGTTGACCAATGTTAGTTCCAACGTTTAATTAATGTTACACTTGTATGCTGTGCCACTGAGAGGGAGAGAGGACAGGTGGGAGGGCCAGGGAGAGAGAGAGAGAGAGGGAGAGAGAACGGGAGGAAAGATGAGAACGGTGTTGTGAGAGAATGGGAGGGAGGGAGTGTGATATAATGGGTGGAAGAACGGAAGACAGGGAGGAAGGGGGATATAGAACAGAGAAGAGATAAAGAGAACAGGCGGAAGGAGGATGAAATGGAGAGAGAGAGAGAGAGAGACATAGAGAAACGGAGAGAGAGAGAGAGAGAGAGAGAGAGAGAGAGAGAGAGAGAGAGAGAGAGAGAGAGAGAGAGAGAGAGAGAGAGAGAGAGAGAGAGAGAGAGAGAGAGAGAGAGAGAGAGAGAGAGAGAGAGAGAGAGAGAGAGAGAGAGAGAGAGAGAGAGAGAGAGAGAGAGAGAGAGAGAGAGAGAGAGAGAGAGAGAGAGAGAGAGAGAGAGAGAGAGAGAGAGAGAGAGAGAGAGACAGACAGAATTGGGGCCCCACCCAGGCCCTGCCAGATATTCTACCCATATGTATCTACTCATTTATATGCGTATACTCTCTTATATACATACAATATTATATAAACTTATCTAGTTATATACAAATATAAGAGTATATATTCATACACTACTGGTATTTTGGGTAAAATATAATTATAATTGTTTTCATAATCGCGTGTTTGTTGTGTGCATAAATATAATGGAGACGGTATTAATGACGGGTGGACGGGTACTTTACCAGGGGCCAGGAAGCACAATACGCAAGTTAGCAGAAGTAAGTGACGAGACAGCATAGTATCTTAACTTTGCTCGGACATAAAGTTGGTCCCATAAATCTGCAGTGAGGAATGATGCGATGGAACGCCTGTGAATAATAACGTACTGTGAATAATCACAAGGAACTTCCAATGTGTTGCTACTTGTCTTATGAGCTGTCAGTGTATTGCTACTCTTCTGAGGAGCTGTCAGTGTGTTATATCACTGCTACTACTACGTTTGGTCCTCTCAATGTCATGAGTGCCTGTTATGTACTCCGAATTAACTAATTAAGTGCCATTAATCCACTGTCCTCAGACAGGATATGATTAATACAACGATTTATGCTAGCTCCATGACCTCGCTTTACCGAGTCATCTGAGCCCTCAGACGTTAATTACTCCACTAATTAACATGAGCCACTAATTGCTATACCCCAGAAAGGTAATTAGTCTCGAGCAAATTACGTTAACACAAATACTGACAGACTCTGACAGATCCTCTCCCACTACGTGAATTCATGATGAGAAGGCTAATTACATAATTAGCTAGAGTGGTCAATTAGTTGTCACACGGACAGTTAATTACTCCCGAGACGTATCTCACTCAAGCTCAACGCTGTTCTCTCTCATAACAGCCCTCACTCACTCCACAATAAGTGTGCACCCCTTATCCAGTTAATTCCCCAATTATTAACTCACTGAATCCTTAAGTCCTCAACACAACTTAAAGAAACAGAGTAACTCCAGTGTTACATAGGTCACACTACAATGGCATGCAACAACACAAATGCACTGCCCACATATGGTTGCGGCTACTGCAACTCGTTAATTACTGTGCCCACACAATAATGACACACGGCTGTGCAACACACAAGAGTATACCAATATTACTGTCCCCCTTATCTTGCAACCGTTGCAAAGGACTACTGTGAACACACACTTACCTCAGCAAGGCAATTAACCAATTAATTGCCTGCTCTTATTAAGTACTGTGAATTCCCCTGAATAATCCTAGAGGTCCCTTAAACCCTCAACACAGCTCCTAGGGCAATAATATCGTATAAACTGATAATAATACTGCACAAACCTGCAACATAATGATGTCATCAGCATACCCCACATGCTAATGACATCATTAGGCAATCAGTCAGCAATCACATCTACTGACTCACCACACAACACAGTACATAAAGCATGCAAATGAACACATAGAAATGGCATTCACATAATCAATGAAAATTATATCATCAGGTAAATGTAACTAACTACACAGACCTCAGGGGTACCCACTGACATCCCTGCAACCTGGCCTGCCTACCTCTAATGATACAATTAATATACGGTACTCTATGGCATTAATCAAGTCTGAACGATTATATAGAATCGACAGGCTTGATCACTTATATGGTAAATCTCTACACTGACCGGTTACATACTCGAGTCAGTCTACACACTTATATATATATATATAACTACAGTGTGGTCGTGTACAACATCTATCTCCAGGTACCGCCCTACCAGTCACCTGGACGTGCTACAGACAGCTGTCACTCAGCTGCTTCTCTAGCCTGGCGAGGCTCTGAGACAACACAGCTTTACCGTGAATCTCCACTAATACTGAGACACTGTTACACTGACTATTGTACTCACGTTTTCCTCTCCTTATTTCACTCATTTCCCAGGTCACTACCACTCTAGCTGTCAACACTTAGCTTGCTCCTCATGCGTCGACAAGATGTGGCCCTAGGCTGTCCCGGGAAAGTGGCCAAGTGGCCCAAGGAGGTGGCCAAGGCATGTGGCCACCGCGTGGCCCACAGCGCCCCTCTCGAGCTGAGAGGGGGGTGGTAGTCGGCGCGCGAGCGGGCGGGCGGGGTGGCCGGGCCATGTGGCGGGTGGCTGGGGAGGCCTGGGGGTGGCCCCCGGGCATACACACGTGGACGGGGAATCACCAACAACTCCAGCAAACCAGAACCTGCCTTGCTCTACACTGGGGTTACAATGGCCGGCGGCGTCACCACCGGGCGGACCAACTGGGTGGAATTCAAAGTCCCACAGGGGCCTGTAATCTCACCACAATTACACTGCCCTGATTCCATCAATAGTTCTACACTAGACAGGATATTCAAACCACCTGTTACACCATGAGGCTCTGCCAGCTGCCTCATGGGTGCCCACTGTCTCTGAGGCTACTTTACTGGTCCTTTCGTACCTCGTCGGCCTCAAATTTCACGAAAATTGGGCCTAGACACAACCCGGGATGGTAGGAGTGCCATCCCTGCTGGGCAACACAGTAACGTCCGCGATTAACGGGGGTGGAGGGGGAAAACTCCCCCCCTCCACCCAGATACGTGCTCGTCCACCTGCTACCCTGCTCAAACTGACGATTTCCCGGGCTAAGGAAACTCAAAATGCCCATACCTCCTCCCTACTTTGTCTTGACCAATCGGCACGAAGCCGGCACTGTTCCCTCGTGCCGCTACCAATCACAGCCTTTCGCGCCAAAACACAGCTCGGAACATACATGCCTACCCCAATCACAGGCCTCACTCACCCTCAAGCGTCCTGTGACATCACAAGGAGGGGGAGGCCTAAAGACAAGGCGCATTGTCTCACATGGTGGGGGGGGGGGGGGGCAACGTTCACCCCACTCTCCCCCCCACCTAACGGTTTTAGTAAAGTACCTCACATACTACATCACTCTCACCTCCTCATCCTATTTCACAGAAACAGGAAAATATCTGTAATTCTCTCTACAGAGCAATCACAGACTTCTGACTACTCACAAATGATAGTCCTTAACATAAGCTTTCATTCAACACCCCACAAGTATATGTTAGTTTGAAAGCTTCAGTTTCTAGAGTCCCTAGAGCGACTAGCCTAATCTAGAAACTAGGAAAACTAGCTGAGGGAATCTAGATTCCCTCACAAATCGTGACGAACCCCAGCAAAATCCAACTTTGCTCGATAGGCTGCTGGGCTAGCTCCCTGGGAGGCATCAACATTGGAGGCACGCTGACAAGGGTACAAAACTCAACCACGATCCTGGGATACAACATATCAAGGCTCCTGAACTCTAATGAACATATCAACAGGAAGGCCGCAATTGCCAGGACTCAACTAGCCAAGCTATATCGCTTTCATCAGGCCCCGCAACATGTAAAATTTCACCTCTACAAGTTAGTATGTTAGTACACACATAACGAACGTCCCGGATTTATCAAGGACTTACAAGAATTTAAGTCTGTGTTATTCACATGTCAACTGAAACATGTTTGTAGCCTACACAATATTTATAAATTTAACTCTCCCAATTTATACTAACAGAATCTACAGTGATGCGACATCTTGGGTCACAGTGACGTGTAATGTTTCGTTACGCGATATCACATCGTAGTATCAGTACAGTTCCTTAGGGGAAATGAAGGAAATTATTCTTCTTCAGTTATAATAGGCTCGCAAATTCCGCCTACATTGTTGAGCTGCAGCTCTAGTGGGACGGTTGCTTGGAGGAACAGATTCATTGTCCTCTGAAATTACTGGGGAAGCTGGATTTGGCTGATATTCTTGTTCAGTCAGTTCTAGGGGAACCAGCTTCTCTAAAGTTTTTAGAGTAGTGTTGCCCTTGCATAAGACTTTAACCACTCTTAGGACACCTTGTCGATCTGGGTGGATGGTGACGATTTTTCCTATAGGCCACTCGGACCTTGGTCCATCACTGTCGACTAGTACAAGGTCTCCAGGTTTTAATTGTACCTTATTGTAAGGACTCGAAGCTCCGTAGT